TTTTTTTTTGGAGACAGAGCTCTCTCTCTGTTGCCCCAGGCTGGTAGTGGTGGTGATATAGTCACAGCTCACTGTAGGGCCTCGACCTTTCACAGCGCTCAACAAGATTCTCCCACCACATGGCCTCCCAGGTAGTAAGTTAAAACATGCTAGCTGGTTGACTACAGGTGTGGTCACTGCCTATCAGCTTTCGACTTAATTTTTTTGTATTTTTTGTGTAGAGACGGGTCGCGCTTATCGCCTGATGTAATCCATCAGGGTCTCAAACTCCTGCGGTCTCAAGTGAACCTTCCTGCCCGTAGGTGTCTCTCTCTCCCACAGAGTGCTTCGGGATTCCTTGCCTTTAAAATATTTGGGTTAGAATCCTATTTTATTGAGTTGGCATTTTGAGGGGAAGATTTTGATGGTGCTCCACATTCTTTTGCTTTTTAGCTTGTAGGAGGGATTTTGGGTGCTTTCTACCAGGCATTTGGTCTAGCTTTTCCTTACAATGAACCTATCTTTGCGGAGGGGTTGCGAGGCTCCCCACCTTTTCCCACCGTGCGTGCGCTATGGCCACTCGCAGAGGATGGTCCCTGACCCATCTGCCCTGATGCTACTGCTATGCCCCCAGCCAAACTTGTTCTCCCTCCGGGCCAGGGCTGGGCATCTTTTAAGTACTGACAGCCTCTTGTTTCCTTCTCTTTACCTGAGTCCTTAGCCAAGGTTAGGTGAAGGGGGAGGTTTTAAGTGAGAAGCGTCAGTCCTTAGAACCTTGGAATTACAAAGTTTTCTGACACCTGAATTGGATGCCACCTCGTTTTTTATATAATAAATCATGTTTCACAGATGTCTCTGTTGCTGTGAACGGATGCAGGGCAGGCCTTCTTAGGATAACTTTAGTCTTGTTCCCGCAAGAGCTGGTGTGCCAGTAGTGAGTATATTGTGTGTTTGGGCTGGACTAGTGAACTGGGATGCTGTGGAGTGTTGGTTTCATGTAAAACTTTCTCTCTGTCATTATGTATTATGTTCAAGATGCATATCCATTCTGCTCTAAATATATGGGTTGGAGAGTAAAATTCCGATAGAGTGATAGGCTTTGAACTCTCAGCGTGTCCCGGAAGTTCAGGGGCTGAGTGGCTATCTCTTCCACTGAGTTTTTTTTATTGTATTTATTTATATGTTATTTATTTGATTTATTGTATGTGAGTTAGAGATGGGCAGTCTTGTGTTGGCCCCAGGCTGGAGTGCAGTGGATGCTAATCTCGGCTCACTGTAACCTCTGTCTCCCGGGGGTTGCAGCAATTCTCCTGCCTCAGCGAGAAACCTGAGTAGCCGGAGGGTTTACTCCACGGTCGCAAGTTCCATCACACATGCGCAATTTTTGTATTTTTGATAGAGACCGGGGTTTCGGCCATGTTGGGCCAATCTGGTCTCAACGCTGACCTCAGGTGATCCACACATGGCCGCCTTGGCCTCTAACCGAATAATTTTAGGGCGAATGGGATAAACAGGTGAGAGGTATCACGCTTGCCTCCCTCTCTGAGTATTTTAGTAAGGTTTTTCTTTCTTTTTTGAGACAGTCGTTACTTTTTTTTTTTTTTTTTTTGGAGATATGTGTTTGCACTCTGTTCGCAAACTGTCGCCCATTAGCTGGTATATGTCTCTCTTGAGTGGTGTCTCTGTCTTTTTGGTTTGTGTGATTGTAACTCTTATGTTTTATTATATTTATAAATGCATGCGAGCCTGCCGGCGAGTGGCGACGTCTATTTTTTGGCGATTAACAATCTGACATCAGCTTTTTCCTCACTGAGCTAGCTGCGGCATCACAGGTGCTCTTCAGACCATCCATGCCCAGCTAATATTTTATTGTGTATTTTTAGTAGAGGACGGTTTGTTGGCACGCCGTTTAGCCAGGATTGGTCTCAATTCCTGACCTGAGTGATCCTCTGCCTTAGCTCTCCTAAAGTACTGGGATTAACAGCGATTGGAGTCTCATCTGTCTTATTTCTTTGTTGTTTTGTTTTGTGTTGTTTGTTTTGGGGCAGGTGCAATCGTCTGTGCTTCACTGCAGCCTGACCTCCAGGCTCATGGAGCCTACCGTCATCAGCCCTCGTCCAAATAGCTGATAGGCCATCTAGGTCACTCTGCCTGCAATCCCAGCAAATCATAAGGTTTTTGTGTTTTTTATTTTTTTCTCAGAGATGAAGTATTGCGTTGTCACTATGTTGAATCTAGGCTGTGGTCTTGAAAGCTGTCTTGGCCTCAGAAGCATGTGGCCGTCGACCGGTTTGGCCGCTCCCAAGGGAGTGCAAACTGAATAAGAAGTGGTTACCACGGCACCTGGCCTCAAGTGTTTCGTGGTTTCTTGAGCAAAACTACGACACTAATATCTTATATAGCGGTGAGCGTCTTCTCATATGTTATCGTTAGTTTGTAACTCGCCGCCCATACCACTCTCATTATAAGCCTTTATCAATTTCTTTTCAGAGATAAAGAAACAGGCCAAGAAGGCTGAAGATCTTGCGCCCAAAACCACACAGTTAGTCCGATGAAACTGAACTTGGACTAGTCTTTAACCCCTTTTTAACATGGGAATCTTTCATCTATGTATGATAAGAAAAAAAAAAAAAAAAAATTAAACCAAGGGTTGGCTGCCTTGTGATCTTCCCATCCTGTATAGGAATGGAAATGGTGGCTAAGGTCAGCACCGAAGGTCCCACAAGCTCTCCCTGCCTCCCCTATATCTACGGCATGATCCTTCAACTGAGGCCAGCCCAGGTGCAGAGTAGCTTGCAAAACCCAAGGGACAGACTGATGGGGAAAATCCCTGGGAATGTGGGAGCTGCCCCAAGGCCCAGCCCAGAGGACCCTGCAGGCAAGAATCTGACCTCTGCCTGAGAGTGGCCACTGCAAGTGGCTCCAGCCAGGGGATGGGGGGAATGAGGTCTGTAGGCCCCTGAGGCCTCTTGCAGACCCGGGAGGGAGGCAGTGCTTGCAGCAGTGGCTAACACCAGCCTCACACAGCCTGCAGCTCCCCCTGCAGGCGATTCAGTTCCTCTAGTTCCTGCTTATAGCGGTCAGTCTTGTGTGCCACCAAGGAGCGGTAGAAATGCAGGGCAAAGGCCACAAACACGAGCCCCACAGGTACCATGATGGCTGTGGAGGCCATTGCTGCTTGCCAGCCTGGCCCATGGGACCCCCCACCACCACAGGTTTGCCGGGGTGGGCAGGCTGGCTCAGCCTGGGACGGTGCTGTGGATGCAGAAGATGGTGGGAGATTGGAAGCTGGACTAGGGGAGGTAGCCACTGGTGCCAGAGTCCCGGGCACCCGGGATGTGGGCACCATGGGGGTCTGTGTGTCCAAGGGAGCCCCAATGGGCACAAACTTGACCCAACCAACCAGGACAACTTCAGCAAGGAAGAGAAAGGTGCCCAGGGCAGTGGAGAAGCCCCAGGCCAGCTCCACGTAGCGGTGCAGTCTCTGGTGTGGTGACTGGTGGACAGAATTGAGGTTGTGGATGTTGCTCACAGCTTCAATGTGGGGCAGCAGACACGTGGAGACCATGAGTGCAAAGAGGTGCACAGCCACCAGCACGGTGGTGCAGGCACTGAAGGCCACCAGCAGGCCTGGCGGGTACTCGTGGTCGCTCTCCAGCTGCACCTCCACCATGGCCACCTGCAGGGACAAGAGGGAATGGACTGACTCCCCATAACCTCCTCAACTGTAGAGATTTTTTCCACCTATTGGGATACATCACTGATACGTATCCCTAGGACCTGGAACTGTGCCTGGCAGAAAGCAGAGACATTCAGTCTCCATTGAGTAAACGAATGGACAGCTTTGCAAAGGCTCTGTTCTGTTCTGGTTTCCCCACCTGCCTATCAAGAGGGCTGGATGGCCGGGCGCGGTGGCTCATGCCTAGAATCTCAGCACTTTGGGAGGCCAAAGTGTGTGGATCACCTGAGGTCAGGAGTTTGAGACCAGCATGGCAAACATGGCAAAAACCCGTCTCTACTAAAAGTACAAAAATTAGCTGGGCATCGTGGTACATGCCTGTAATCCCAGCTACTTGGGAGGCTGAAGCAGGAGAACTGCTTGAACCCAGAAGGCAGAAGTTCGAGTGAGCCAAGATCATGCCACTGCACTCCAGCTTGGGCGACAGAGCAAGACTCTGTCTCAAAAAAAAAAAAAAAGAGGGCTGGATGACTTGCTTCTGACAGGTTTACTGCATAGGGATCAAACAGCAGATTCTGGAGCTGGGCTGCCTGGGCTCATTCTGTGCTCGAGCTGTGTAATCTTGAGCAAGTCAGTTCTCTGTGTGCCTCAATTTCCTATCTGGAAATGGAGATTGATAACAGCACCTCCCTGCCTTGTAGGGTTGGTATAAACATTAAGTGAAATATACATGAAATGGGCTGGGCGTGGTGGCTCACGCCTTTCATCCCAACACTTTGGGAGGCCGAGTCGGGTGGATCACCTGAGGTCAGGGGTTCAAGACCAGCCTGGCCAACATGGTGAAACCCTGTCTCTACTAAAAATACAAAAATTGGGCGTGGTGGTGTGCACCTGTAATCCCAGCTACTCAGGAACTTTGGAGGCTGAGGCAGGAGAATTGCTTGAACCCAGGAAGCAGAGGTTGCAGTGAGCCGAGATCATACCACTGCACTCCATCCTGGGTGACAAAGTGGGACTGTGTCTCAAAAAAAAGAAAGAAAGAAGGAAAGAAGGAAGGAAGGAAGGAAGGAAAGGAAGAAGGAAAGGAAGAGGAAAGGAACAGGCCAGGCACAGAGTAAGCACTATGTACGTGTTTGCTGTTCTTGCTATGGTGAGTGCTAAAGTCTGAGGACAGAGTACAAATCAGCACACTGTGGACCACTTCCAGCTTGCAGACGTGTTTTGCTTGGCTCACACAGTGTGTTTCTTAAAAAATGGAAGATGTTGCCAACTTGTAAAACCCAAGAGAGTTCTTATATCCCTATTTCCAGATCCCCTTGAAAACTTGGAAGAACTGGCCACACTTGGCCCGCGTTCCTGCACGGCAACTATCAGCTCAAATCAGTCATGGCTGCTCCCCTTGGAAAGCTAATGGGGTCTCTCTCTCTCTCTTTTTTTTTTTTGTAGATGCCAGGTCTTGCTATGTTGCCCAGGCTGGCTGGACTTGAACTCCTGGGCTCAAGCGATCCTCCTGCCTTGGCCTCCCAAAGTGCTGGGATGAAAGGTGTGAGCCATCACCCTCGATGTCAGGGGGTCTCTTGCTTGCTAGTCCCTACCCAGCCAACTTGGCATCCATATTACTTGCCTGGCCCTTTGCAGACATTTAAGTTGATGACCCTATTCTAGGAATGTATAAATTTGGAGTCTGGAACCAGACTGCTTAGGCTCAAATCCTGCCACTTACTTGCTGTGGGACCTTGGCCAGGTGTCTTAACATCTCTGATCCTCAGTTTCCTCATCTGTAAAATGGCCAGAGTAGCAGTACCCACTTTGTAGGCTAACAGATGATGTACATAAAGGCACTGAGGGCAGTGCCTGGTGCTTAGTGACAGCTGGATACAATTTGTTTTTTTTTTTTTTTTTTTTTTTTTTTTTTTTTTTTTGAGACGGAGTCTCGCTCTGTAGCCCAGGCCGGAGTGCAGTGGCCGGATCTCAGCTCACTGCAAGCTCCGCCTCCTGGGTTCACGCCATTCTCCGGCCTCAGCCTCCCGAGTAGCTGGGACTACAGGCGCCCGCCACCTCGCCCGGCTAGTTTTTTGTATTTTTTAGTAGAGAGGGGGTTTCACCATGTTAGCCAGGTTGGTCTCGATCTCCTGACCTCGTGATCCGCCCGTCTCGGCCTCCCAAAGTGCTGGGATTACAGGCTTGAGCCACCGCGCCCGGCCAGCTGGATACAATTTGTATAATGCTATTCTAACTTAGGCCACCTGAGTTTCAGAATCCCACTCTCTCCCCATCCGTGGTTCTTGTAGGGTCCATTCGATTGCTCTGGGCCTGGGGAAAGAAGAAGGTAGGTGTAGAGGCTGGCGGGTGGAGGCAGGAAAGCAGGGCTGAGTATTTTGGGAAACTGGGCCATGGCAGGTGTCAGGAGGTGTTTTCCACAGACAGGGATCTGGGCCAGGCTTAGTCCTGGTTTCTCCCAGAGCCTGGTCCAGCCTCGGTCTCCCCTGCTAGGATTGCGGCCAGTCCTGCCCCCAGAACCTAAACCTCCAGCCCCTTACTCCTGCAGAGAAGGCTCAGGCCATTAAGCTGTCACCCCAGCAACCTGCACGTTCTGCTGTGGAGGGATTGTCTCCTTGGGAACAGGCTGGACCACGGGGTTGACCTCCCTCAGCTCAGGTGGCTGCTGCCTTCCCTCTGCAGGCTGTGTAGATGAAGGGGCACCAACGCCCTGTCCCCAGGTGATGCCCCCCATCAGGAAAGGTAAGCTGGTCTGTGGATTCTGGGAACCCATGTAGAAGACCATAGGCTTATGATGACCCTTAGGGTTAGAGAGTTTCCCTGTCATTGTTCAAATATGGAGGTTATGACACAGATGGGGCAGGGACTAGCCCAGATCCCCTAACTCCATGGTCCCCACCCCAACTGCCTCTGATATCCATCCCCACAGGAGTGCGTTCCCCAAAGTACCTCCTGCAGCTCACTTTCTTCTTTTTCCTGGGGTGATGGTGGGGAAACCCCAGACTAACAGAGCAGCAACCCTGGCTCCCAGTTCATTCACTCCTGCCCAGAGGCGAGACCTTTGCTTTCCACACCTGTCCAATTGGACTAGCAGGCTAGTCTGAGCCATCCTTGGTGAGTGGCCTGCTCTGGCATGCTTGGCTCACCCTGGGGCGGGTACTCGGCGGGCTACAGAGGGCGCACCCTCCATGATCTCACAGTTTCCCACTGGCTTGCAAGGGGGGTGGAGGCCTGTCCAGGGTCACATAGCTGGCCACAAGCAGGGAGGAGCCAGGACTGTGTCTGTTGATCCTCACCCTGGGACCTCCCTCCGTCCCACTTCCTGTGAGGCCACCGCTGGGACAGACCGTTAGCCGACACCGTCCTCCTGCACCTGTGGTTTATCAGCTTGAGAATCGCTTATCAGTTTCCTCATGGGCCTTCTCCCCAGCGTCTCCCTCCGGGGCATGATCTCTTGTCAGTTTTCCTGGTTGACACTAGCACCCCTTGGGCCCGCTGGAGAGTGGCCACTTTCCCTGGGATGGGCCCAACTTCAGCTGGGTGACCCTGCCACCCAGCTGATCCATCTCGAGCACCCCCGCCTGTTGATGCAGCCCCCACCCAGCTGACCTGCCTTTGAAGCTGGCACTGGGACTTAGGAACCACTTCTGCCAGGAACAGGCTCCGTCTGAACCACTCTGCCTTATCGTTGCAGTCAACCCCACTGGTGATTTGTTCACCCCACTCCCTCTATGACACCTTTAGGACCTTAGTGTCCTCCAGTGGCCCCATCTCCTGGGGGCCCCTGTACACATACATCCGTAAGAAGGGACTTGCTCAGTCCCTTGGGACCTTGTTCCTTCCCCCTTGACGAAAGCCCCCTCTGCCCTGTGTCCCTTGGGACCTGTTTGCCCCCCCCAACCTGTGCCCCCCACGTGCTCTGCCCCACCGTTTGTGCCCCCTCCCGGCCCCTCACCATGGCGAAGCCCGAGAGCAGGGCGGACGTGCGGCTGGAAGCTTTGAGCTTGGCCCGGCTGAGGTAGAGGCGGCGCCAGCTGAGCGCCCGCAGCGAGTGCTGACTGGCCCCCATGAGGTCCAGGTAGCCGCGGTGCACGAACTCCCGGTACGTGGCCGAGCCTGCAGGGCTCTCGCCCTCCGGGTTCAGCGGGGCCTGCTCGCACGCGTCCTCCTCGCCGCCCTTCATCCTGGGGGCGGCGGCACCAGGTGGTCACTACGGGGCGGAGGCGCCTCGGGGGCCCCAGCCGGGCCGGCCCAAGCCCAGGGGCGGCCCCATCCCCCGATAGGGCAAGCAGGATGCAGGCGGCGGGCGCCCAGGAAGAGGCGGCCCCAGCGGAGCAGGAAGAGAGGCGTCTGCGGGGAGCCCCAGGGGCCGGAGCGGGACAGCGGAGGCCGAAACAGGAACTGGGGCAGAGGCGGAGCCGGGCTGGCCACATGATGGGGTGGAGCCGGGGACCGAGTCCTGGTGGTCCCGGGCCCACAGAGATTCCCCGCGACCCCTACCCACCAAGAACATCATCCAAACGCCCGGACCCCACCGAGGTGCACGCCAGCCACAGCCACCTCCAAGGTACAGCTGGATGCCCCAGGTGTCCACACTCAAATCCCTCCCAAAATGAACCCAAGAGAGGTGAGGCCACTCATCTGTAGGTAGGGACCCTGCACACACACACACACGAACTCCGAAGCCCCGGCTGGAAGATTTTGAATTTTATAGCAAACCGTATTGTACAGACCCGGGGCCCAGGGGCCCAGCCCGGCTGGGTCCCCCGCTTGCCCCTTGCCGGGCTGCCTCCTCCCTCCCTCAAGCGGCCCCATCCTCAAGCCTCTCGCGATCCCCAGGCCCCTCCCCTCCGGCCTTTGGTCCGCCCAGCCCTCCCCCCACCCGCGCACCTCCCTGTTACCTGAGGTATGTGGATAGATCTCCCCTCCCCTACATGGTAAGCCCCGGCCCCCCGGAGGCCTGCGTGAAGGGGCGGGACCTGACCCGGCTCCTCCCCCGGGCTCCGAAGCCCCACCCCTCGCTGGAAGAAAGGGCGGGAAGGAGGGCCAGCAGAGTCTGTTACTAGGTTCCCATGGCAACTAAGAGGGGCCATTTCCAGCCTTAGCACTGGCATCGGGAGGTGTCCGTTGGCTGCTATTTCCATGGCAACCAGGAGTGGCAGTTCCCTGGGCAAATGGGATACAAGTTTCCGTGACGATGAAAGAGTGGGAAGACCCAGGCTGGAGGAGTCCCATAGTCCCCATCCTTGGGCTTGCGCCCCCAGCCATAATGCAGGTCCGGCGGGTGCCGCCGCTCAATACAGTAAAACAAGAACGAGCCTGGGGATGGCGCAGTCCCAAATGGGCACCCACTGGCCCGGTCTCAGGTCTCAGTCCAAGCTGGTCCAGTCCCCCTCACACTCCGGCTCCCCCAGGTCCGAGGTTCCCCCGGTTCAAGTAACACTTCAGTACAGATGAATGTTCAAGTATTGTGCGGAGAGGCGGGCAGGGGTTGGGGCGCCCCTCGCCACTCCCCTGGGCCGCGAGCTGAAGAGCGGCTGCCCGCGGCCCCCACTCCTTACAATAGCTGCCGTTTTCAGTGACGTTCAAGGAGTCAGGGTCGGGGGAAGGAACTGAAGCCTGGGGAGGGGGGAAGCAGAGAGGTGACCCCCAAGGGGGTATTGCTGTCCCCACACCTGCTCTCATCCCCACCTCCAGCTCAGCCCCGGCTTGCCCCTGGCTCCCCTACCTCTGACACCTGGATACCCAATTGCTCCTCCGGTTTTCCTTTTGTGGCCCCCCCACCCCCCAATCGAAGTAACTGGTCTTTGTTCCCTGAACCCTTGGTGGTCTGGAGGAGGAGAGGAGGTCCCCAAGGTCTTATTTATTTATTATTTATTATTTAAATTTATTTTAGAGATGGAAGTCTCGCTCTGTTGGCCAGGCCTGGGTGCAGTGGCACAATCTGGCCCACTGCAACCTCCACCTCCCTGGTTCAAAGTGATTCTCCTGCCCTCAAGGCCTCCTGAGTACTGGGATTTACCAGCACCTGCCACCATGCCCGCTTAATTTCTTGTTATTTAGTAGAGACGGGGTTTCCACCATGTTGGCCGAGGGCTGGCCTGAAGTCCTGACCTTGTGATCCGCCACGCTTCGCCCTCCAAAGTGCTGATTACAGCGTAGCACCACCGCCTGGCCAGAATAATTGTAGTTCAAATACAATAATTCATGGAAGGCTCTGGTGAAGGTGATGTGAGGAGTGGACAGATGAGGTCAAGGGTTCCATGAGGGTGTTTAGAAGAGCAAGCCGCAGGATTGCAACAGTCATTCTCCACTCATGTGGGAGCAGGGTAGGAGAGAGGGTCGGGATACCCTGGGTGCAGGGGATGGGAGTGCCAGGATACGACCTCTCATCGCTGGCTTGCCAGGCAAACAGAGACCGTGGCTCAGGGGTGGCAGGGAACTGCCCTTGGCAAGGTTCTGGAGCTGACAATTGCCTCCCTGGCGGCTCCTGCTGCGCCACGCACCCCAGCAGCCGCCTGGACCTGGCCACCTGGCAGCCCACGTCTCGGGACCCCAGTTTCATCTCCTCACGGCCCACGTCCCCACCTCCGGGAGGGACCTGTGCACCTCAATCCTGTGCTGGTAACCAGTCTCCCATCCTCCTGCCAGCCCTGTGGTCCCCATGCCCATGTTTGCCACCCCTGCTTGCACTCCTGCCCTGGTCTCAGGCGCCCACTGCCCCATCCCAGGTTGCCACCGCCTAAACGGACCACTGCCTCCCGCCTCGCCGCTGCCCTCGTCTACGCCGCCTAGGACCTGCCGCTCTTGCTCGCCCAGCTCTCACCCGAAGGTGTCCCGGCTGGCAGCCGCCGGCCCCCTGGCCCCTTCCGCTGCCCTTGAGGAGAACTGCTTCCTCAGGACACCGCTAGTTGGGCGCCCCCACAACTCCCCCGGACTCGACAGGAAGCCTGGACCTCGCGGCTTCATTTCACCCCTGCTGGGACCCAGGTTCCACCTCACCACCCCGGGAATTCCTGAGTGTCATGACTGGATTTCCCACCCAGGACTCAAAGCCAGCCACCCCCTTCTTCCCCCCTGCACTGAATCTCTGGGGTTCTCCTTCCTTGTCCTCCTCCCTGCTACCTGCTTCATTGTCCATCCCCTGGGGGGAGTGGGTCAGAGGTACTGGAGGTGCTGAGCCGAAGGACGGTGGGAGGGGGGTATGTTCAACATGTTGGGGGAGAAGGGGAAAGGCCACACAGAGGATATGGAGCCAGGGGCTGGGGAGGTGGAAAGGGGCGGGGGGGCGCAGACACAAGACCACAAGGGTACGACAAA